ACTACGACCAAAAATGGAGAATTATATTATGATTTCTGGTTCCTTAAAAGCATTGAAATAATATTAATTTCAACACGACGTCAATTTTATTTACAAGAAGTGGAAAGCTTACAGTCTAAAATTACGTGATAAGAAATTTTGGATGATCAAAAATCGTCTGATTTTCTGCCGATAAAAGTGATAAAAATCGGAATTGTTTTCCAATAAAAAACCATCCAAATGACAATTTTAGACGACATCTTCAATTTGGCAAATTACAGAATGGGACATTGTTGTCGGCTTCTTCTCCTTTTGGTGGCGCAGAATTTCATCTTAAACTGTGACAGCTTAATTCATCAGTACGTGCTTTCTTTTCATAACTTGATGAAGTCTATAAAATCATTAAAATCAACTTTGTCTGACTTACTGCACCAAGATATTTAATGAAAAAATAACTATTTCAACTATTTCTAATCAAAAATCAAAAATTATAACGATTAAATTTTTCATACAATCCGATGAATGAATTTTTTAAGTTATATTTTGTTAGTCGAACCATACTTTTCAGAGAATTCAAGGCACTAAGCTATTCAAAATTACGTCAGCTATATGCGAAACATTACGATGGTTATACAAAATTTGTCGCAGAATACAGTAAGTAATTAAAAATTTCGATATATTCATATTTTTATTGCCTATTTTAAAATCATTCCGCTCATTTAATTCGAAATTGCTTAAAGTATAAATTCAATAATATAACTTCATTGCACTGACTTTTTTACTACCTTAATATTTTGCTTTTTCATTTAAATTTCACACTGCATTTCGCATACAATTGGATCAAATGAGTTTGAGTGATAGTTAAAGTAGTTAATGTGCTATGAATAATATTTTATGCATATTTGTGGATAAATTATGTATTATTTTTAAGTTGCCGATTAACAATTTTTTGTTGTAGAGCAAGGTGTTAAAGACGATCGACCGGAACCGCACCGTTTATTGGCTTATGCTAAAAATCTGGAAGAGATTAAAAAGCACAATGAATTGTACAAACAAGGCAAATCATCATTTATGCTTGGCCTAACTGTAATGAGTGACACGGTAAAATGAAATTAATCATTGTGCGGGGGAAGGAATTAGAGAGATAAAGAAAAATAATGACAATTAATTAATTTATTAAAATTATAGTCGAAGGAGGATTTGGACGATCTGTTTCCAGTAGTGGTATTCAATGAAACAGATAATCCTGTCCCACCGAATTTAACAGAAAGTTCAATTAGAGAAGTTAATTGGGTTGCTAGAAATTATATCACACCAGTGAAAAACTTTCTCAATTACAGGGTAATTTACTTATTCCATTTTAAAATTCATCAATAATAAATAATAAAAGATAAATATTCAGTGATAATAAAATGATATCGTAATTTTAAAATATCAGCGGCATGATTATGAATATCAACGTTTTAAAGCTTTTTGTTGTCTCCCTTCCTTTCTCTTTAATTCTTTTTAAAATAAAAATTTAAAAGGATTAAATTAAATTCTGAGCACAATTTATCTTTTAACTCAGGAAGGAAAAAAATTCATCTATGCAGAATTTGTTGAAAAAGTTTATATATATGAAAAAGATGTAAGTTAAAACAATAACTCTTAAAATACTTTTTTTGTAAAAAGTAGCAGATAAAAAAGTACGAGTATTTGAGAAATTTTTTCATTTTGCATATCAATAATTTCTATGTAGAATTTAATATTTTTCAAATTTTCGTTCCATTATTAATGAAAATATTTAAAGAGATGTTATCGTCCTAGCGGTGCAGCCGATGCAGTAACGAATATTGTGGAAGCAGCTATTAAATCTCGTACTGGACGACTGATAAAACTTTCCACACAGGAATTATTAGACTGCGGCGGTTCTGAGTGTAATACACTCGGGGATTTCGATAAGGTCATATTGCTTTTGAATACAAGCAATTAGATATAGATTTATTGAAACGAAATAAGTTCATTTTTATTAGTTAATTTTGATAATGTAATCAGTACCCTTTGCTGATTATATTATCAAGATTAACTAATGAAGTAAAGTATCC